TACATCTGTAACCTAAAACACTGTGGGTGCTGATGATGGATGATTAGCTCACTGACTAAAGAGAGAAGCAACACTCAGAATCATGAGATACCAAGACTATGACAACAACAGTGAGTCACAGTGACTGGACTCTGTCGATTCCATTAATAATAATAATAATAATAATAATGTAGTGTGGCAATGCCTTAGGATGCAGTTCCTCTTAAATTTCATAAACTGTCTGTACGACTCTGACTAAACTGAGCAGAAGAGGAAACACCAACTTCTCTCTCTTGAAATACAGTCAAACTCCCCCACGAGTTCGGATCCCAGGAGCTAATATCACTTCTTCTTTGGAGTTGGGTAAAACTAGGCTCAGGCAGCTGACTTTGATGGTGTTGATGAACGATGAACACCTCCTTGCCATGTGAACCAAGGTCTCTTCTAACTGCTTCAGTGACCCAACCACGTTGACAAATCCCCAAAAGGTGTAGCTGGTGGGAAACCAGAGACTAGTTCTGTTGGAGTTGTGGGTTAGAAATGTCTCTAACGAACAGAATTAATACATAAAGGAGATCAGGATAGGAGAGTTATAAAAATACCAGAGGGATATTATCTTTCTCAAGATTCAGATTTTATTTAAATCTCCATAAAAGCATTTCTCCAAGTCAAAAGTTGTATCCTTACTAGTAAGAATGGTAATTAAAGATATCTACAATAACATCCTCACCAGTAAAAGTATTATTTAATCATATCTATAACTTTAATTGTACTTGTCGAAATTCAATTTAAGATATGTTTAAATCTTTAAAAAGTATAAGTGTCTTCCTACCGTGTCCTATCTTCCTATCAAAAGGACATTTCAGATATCCACAATTACTTTTTTCCTATCAAGAACTGTTATTTTACATATCACAACGTCATTCTTTCTAGGGAAAAGGACATCTCTGACTCTTGCTAATGATGTATATTTGGCTATCAATATTCTGATATTCATAACTGCATTTCTGATATCTGGAATGCACATTCTGGATATATGCAATAGAGTTCTTACTAATAAAAAACAAACATGTCAGCGATCTACAATCCAATTATTACTAGTCAGAACCATATACTGTGGTCATAACTGAAATGAGCCATTTTGACATTGCATTGTCATAATTCTAATTGTAGATATCTGTAATGACAGTTTTACAAGTCACAATGTTTCTTGGATATTCAAAATTACATTATTGACATGTGCAATGTTTTTATTTTGGATATGTGAAATTAAAATGATGACTAGGAAGAATTGAATCACGGATACCTGCGATACATATCCAGTATTAGAAGTTAAAACAACTCTCCATAAGAGCCTGACCCTTCCTGTTACTTTTAAACCCAATAAACTAAACAGCTGGTTGGCCACATAGGCATCTAAATTTGACATACTGCTGCAGCTGCAGACATCTAATTTGAAGGCCTCAACCTTACATACCAGGAGCAAGTACGGGCATGCGACCAAAGAGAAATGTATCCGTCAATGTGAAGAAAATACATAAATGATAAACCACACGACTACCTAGAAAACTGTGCATAGCTTTTGGCTGCCACATCATGACCTTATGAAAGACTTCGTACAACGATGTCAGACACCATTATTAGCTCGTCAGTTCACTCTCACTGACACTTGTTATGGTGTTTGAGTGCTTGAGCTCAAGTCATACCAAGTTATGGCTGAGCTTGCCAGGAACCAGGCCCGTGATAGTGACTTACGATGGTTCTGATTACAGACGGTGTGGTTCTGACTGACACGTTCACAGCAGTGGACAGAATGTTGACCGTTGGTGCACCAAAATCTTAACTGTTTATATGCTGCTAACGGACTATTTGATAGGTTGAACGCCGGGTACTCTCAAACCGATACCATTACCGTTAGGTTAACTTTACATATTTTAAAGTGCCTGGCTCTGTGGCTATGACCTCAGGTTACCTCCTTCAGCTGATCCAGCTCATGTCGAACCGTCTCGTATTCGGTCTCCAACTCATCGAATCGCTGCTTGAGCAGCTGTTTCTCCTCCAGAACCGCCAGCCCGTACTCAGCCGCCTGGATCTTCTCATGGGTCGTCTCACGGAGCTCCCGGGTGAGACGCTCGACCTCTACTCGAAGCCACTGCGGCCCGGCCTCAGTCACCAGTACCGCTTCGGGGAATTCCTCCTCCATAGACATCTTGGTGAGCCGCCGACACTCACACAACTGTAACGGGACCAAGCCCTTAGCTAGCAAGAGCAGCACACAAAACCACCAAAGACCACAAATCACTGCAGTCTTTGTTTGAGCCGCATTGTTGGCACTTAAATGGCGTTTGGTTCCCTTTGCATTTTCCCGCCGCACACTTCTACGATGCTCAACCGAGACGACACTTTTGTCATTTTCGAGGAGTTTCTTCAGGCTCTTCGTGAAGCCGACAGAGGAAACTTCAGTTGAGATCAGCGATTGGAAAAAGCTACCCCTGCACGGTATTCAAATCAGTACGGGCGTGAAGGGAAGTGTAGTTTTAAGTGTGACGTCAGTATCCCAACGACTACGTACAGCAGCTTCCGTATTTACTTCAAGTACCAGAATGCATTGCGTGGCCTTGGACGTGATTCAGTAACTACTGAAGATTGTAATGCAGCACTGCCATCTAGAGATGTTATGGTAAACAGGCAACTATTCCCGAGAGGGATATTGTGATTATGGCTGCATAGAAACCATTATTTTCATCTATGTTTCTGGTCAACTGAATTACTGTGTGCCCGTCTGTTTTGTTGTGTTTTGTTTTTTCTGACTAAAAGCTCAATTTAAAATGATATGAATTGGAGGAAAGCAGGCTGTAAGCTGCCAAATGCCCAAGCAAAATGTTGCCTTTGGGGACAATATGGTATACATTATCTTAGCATATGTGGTGTTTTTTGCTTAATTGCGTGGACTTACACTATATATATATATATATATATATATATATATATATATATATATATATATGCAATGGCAAATGTGAAAGTAAAACTTTCTTATCTGGTACTTCCCGTCTGTCTGACTTGACAGACTGGTGTGACTGGGTTCAGGAAGTTGTCTCCTTGGTGTTTGGTTATTCCGTTGTTGTCACACCTGCCTGGAACATTTACCTGGAGCTGAATTTACATGGTGTGTATACCATGGCATAGTCTTTCACCTGTGGTAATGCTAATCCATTCTCACACTGTACAGTATAGTTATTGATTTATTATATTACTATATTTCCTTTTCTACTTTCTCTCATTTTTCAGTCTCCCCTCTCTTTCTTTCTGTCTCTAGCAATAGCCTACTTTGTGTTTATCCATTAAGCTATTTGAGTTGATCTGTCTCTACCAAGATATAATAATAATGTTTATTTTTCAGGAATATGGAAGGGGACTTTTACCGACACTGTATGTACATTATAATGGTGGCACACACAAAAAAGGGAATACACCTATATTTAGAAGATATTTCCTAATTTTAATACATTTCTTCTGAACATTTCAGACAAATATTTCCATTTTTATTCAATCTGCTTTGGGCTGGGATGTGGAACAGCACTCTACAGGCCCTTTTGTCGTAAGTAGACATCACTCAAGTTCTACCATTTTTGTTTGGAGGTAAATTTCAAGTTTATACAATGGACTTTGTAACTGTTGAATAATGTTTATGTTGCATTTCCAGGACTCATGATTCCATCAGTTCTTGCTGTGTTTTTCACCATAGTGTTCGAGATTGTGGGCATCATATCTGGTAAACTGCACTTTGTTTTAAAAACAAAATAATTATTAAAGACAATTTTTTTACCAGAAGGTGTTCCTTTGAAATGCTAAATGTTGTTGAACAACAATGACAATACAAATGTACATTTTTTATGTTTCCTGCCAGATCTGCCAGCCCATACTAGGAGATGTAAAGGCCCTCCCTATGACAGAAGAGGTACACAGACTTGATAATTGATTCGGTTATGATTTGTGCTAGTAATTTGTTGTTAATTTACATGACATATTTATTCATCACAAACAAATGCATTCAAATAATTTTTTTATGATTTGTTTATTAATATCTAATAGCGCATACATGATTTGTCGCTGATTGATAGTGTTATAGTGATTTTTAAAAAGTGAATTGTCAATATTTACCCATGAAATCTAAATATGAAACAGTATCTATTCTTTATTAAAACTAACAATATCTTCTAACTCTCTTTAGATGTTTACTGGGGATTTTGTTTTGCACTTTTCGTGGCCATCCTGAACCTCAACTCATATCATGGTAAAGTCACATACTTTACAGCAGATATGAAGATGCTTTTGGAAAATTCTACTTCTGTGGTTACATGTTGTGCTTTATTCCAGTCTACACACTGTCTTATGGATGTGGCATCATAGTGTTTGCTCTTAGAGGAGTAAAACGGAAATACAGCTCTCTAAGGTAGGTGGGCTTACTAAAAAGCTGATTTAAATTTTGCACATTATTCCGATAGATTGACAGCCTTTGTAACTTTCTCACAGGTGGAATTTGGTGTCTTTAAATTTCTTTAAAATGATGGTATTTGTATGATCTTTTGGACAGGAAGCTGAGAAAGAGACAGTGCCACTGGTGGTAGAAGGAGTTTAAAACCACATCATTTATATCTGTGATTTCTTTCTACAAAGTAAAAGAGCAGAGTTGTGTTTGATGGAGTTGTGTTTGATGAACTGAACTTCAGACTCAGAGATGCTGAATTCTACCAGAAAGTCATGCACATTTCCACAGGAACAAGATCTCAGATCAAATGTATTAGCTATTGTAGAAAAGTACGGTAGAAAAGTAATTAATTTATTAAACAAGTGATGCAGATAAGAATTGTATACTAATGTATGTTGTCATTAATCATGGTTTAGCATCACTTACTTAGACACAGTTTGTATTAAATCTTTAAATACAGATTCCTGTGTATGTATACTGTTTGAACTACACGCTTCTACACAAATATACATAGAGAAAAAGAACAAAGTATTGTAATCACTCAAAGTCAAATGCAGAGGGCTTTATTACATGAAAGTAAGGTACATACAAAATTTCAAGTAACAAAGAAAGTGTTTGTTCTTGGGTTAACTTTAGCATCGGTCACAGCTAGCCATTCTCCATCAGCACTTGAAGGGCCTTCTTGAAGTCACTGACGACATAATGCATCGTCACTTTGCTGGTACGGTCCAGATGTACAGCTAGCACAAATGAACATTGAGGTGTGTAGGTTGATGGTAACATCAAAATCAATAACAAAAAAATACAGCGCTGAATAGAAATTATACAACTTTTGAAACCACAATGTTTAAATGATCTGAAGGTGTGATCTGATGTTTGGAGTGACAGCTGTTTATGACCGACCTACATTTGTTTGATTTTTTTTTCTCCCCTACTTTCTAAAAACAACAACTCAGTTAGCTTATTTCTGACACTATTGTCATGATAAACTACTTTAAAACTAAGCCCCACCCAAGAGCTACATCAGAACAATATAAAAAACATTTCCAGTTGAATTAATCAAAGAGCATTTTAAAAAAACACATGAGAGCATCACACATACTCATGTTGAACATGTAATATTGTATTGTTTTATATGGTGAACATCCATAGTCTGTTATGGCCACATTTTGATTACTGAACTAGGTTTATGACAATGAGTTTAGGAGTGAGGACATTTGTTTGTCTCTGTTCTTGTGTGTGCTGTGATGGATGCATGAAAGAAAGGTAATGTGGAACTACTTCAAAGCGTACAGCACAAAATCACATTACTTCAGTACACACTCAGGGGCAATCACAGTGAAGGAATTTAAAGAGCTGGATGTCATGTGAATCAAAAACACACTTGACTGTTTATCTTTATCTGCAGGGGTGTGATCAGATAGGTGGGTGGGGCAGCGATAAAGTTACTTGGCGTTGGTAGAGCTGCTGAGCATCTTGCGGACGGCCTGTGTGATGGAGTCACGATCAATGCCATAGAGCTTGAGCAGCTCATGTGGTTTGCCACTGCGGGGGACATGGGACACAGCCAGACGATGCAAATTGAAGCCAGACTCATTGACCATTGCTGAGGACACTGCCTCCCCAAGGCCACCTGTGAAACAACAGTTAATCACATGAGAGATGTGTAGAGGCCACATTTGAGACAAATCCTCATTGAAGGATGGGGGACACCCAATTGCCGCAAAGGCTTTTGAGCTTAATTGACAGCAAAAAATGAGGCTGTGTATAAGCATGATGTCGTCACATATACAGTAAATAGAAAGGACCAGAAAATATCACAAACAAGCTCAGTCTAAACATGTCCTCCACCACTATAACACTATCTGGTCCAGATGTAAAATGAATGAGATACCCAACATCAGAGCGATGCCAAAAATCCTTTGTCTAGTCAAGTCCGCACCATCACCCATCCCCTTTCTCTTAACAGGCATAGGGCATGGCTGTCTGTGTTATCTAGGTCACACAAAGCCCCATGGGCACATGCTCGGTTAAGGAAATCTGACAGCACTCTGCCTCTCTTGCTCTCGCACTTACAATATGCACCACAATACCAATACCTTGCCTGCAATGAGAACACGCAACAGTCACTAAGCCTCCCCTTAGCCAATAAACAAATGCCACCACATTGCGTCTCTGTCGCTGAACCAATGAAAACATGCCACCACAACACACCCGAGGATACGGGCCAATGACAGGGCCCCTATGCTCTGAGGCTTGCTGCTGTAAGGTTGGTGGTGGTCATACAATATGTAGAAGCTGAATAGTATGAGCAACGTTCATGGAAACCTACCTTCATAGTAGTGGTCTTCCACAGTGAGGATTCGTCCCCTGGTGGCACGCGTGTGGTCGATGATAGTTTTGACATCCAGTGGTTTGATTGTGAAGGGGTCAATGACCCTAACAGAGATCCTCTCTGAAAATTCAGTTCATTCAGTTGAGGGATATGATATATAGCATAATAATGTTAATGGCTTTGCTGCAACTGAGACATGCAATTCATATAGTGGTTCTAAGGCCAGGATGTCCTTGTAAATGCTGGTTTTAATCAGTAACTAGTGATTAATATGAACACAATGCATGTATTGTATGAAATATCACAGTGGCAAAGTTAAAATCACAAATGTAGCTTCTAAAGATTTAGGTTTGTTTCCACCTCAAGCGAGCACTGTTGCAAAATCATTGACAAAGGCCAAAATGCATGCAAGGAAATATTTTACATCAAGGGTAGATGTTCTTTTTTTACAAACTGTAATGTTCAGAACTACAGATGGTAACATTTAAATATTCCGCTTTTGAAATAGGTTTTATTTCAGCAAATTTAAAATGTAATTTATTAAAAAATGATATAATTGTCTGTGCTATTTCTGATAAACAGCGAATCATCTTCAAATATGGTCATACAGCATTTGATTAAAAATATTATATTCTGTGTCTGTTGGATATGATGTGATTTGGTATTCATCTTATCTTTTTATTTTTTTAAAGGAGTATTTTATGTACTGTACCTTTCTTTAAATGTTCAGCTGCAGCCATGGCCTCATGCAAAGTCACTCCAGCTGCCACCACAGTCACCTGGTCCTCTTTGCTCTGGTACACCACCTGGCAAAGAGAAAGGTGTCATCTTCTGTTTCAGGTTACAGTGTTGACAATGCTTGGTGTGTTCATTTTGAAGCGATATTTCTCTGTTTTCTTATTTTCCTCACAGCTGTTCTTTAACAGCTATGTGAGCACAAAGACTGTCTCACCTTAGCCTGGCCAACATGGAAGTCCTCATTGCTGTTATAGATGATGGCGCAGTCTTGGCGGCTGGTTCGGATGTAGCAAACACCCTTTTTTGGAGGGAAACATGACAATCACCACTGGGACATTTTGACAGCGAATAGGCTGTTTCGCTAATAAATAATGTTCCACAGATACAGTAGGGAAGCAGAAACACTGCATTTAGGCTTCACGTACCTTTGTGGAAGCAGCCAGTTCCACAGCCTTCTCTGTAGACACACCGTCACAGGGATAGAAAATGGTCGCAGTGGGAAGGGCCCTGAACATAGCCACGTCCTCTAGACCCATCATAGAGGGGCCTTCCTCTCCTGTAATATGTACATTTAGTTGATTTCATACATCCAAAATTCATAAAGTCCCAAAAGCTAGTGAGCTGTAAGGTGAGCTGATACATGCAGATCCACAGACATAAAGCCAGACTTTGCATGCAGAATACCTGCACTAACAGAGGGACACCTGGTTCCCTGTTGACAGCTTCCAGGGCAGACAGGAAGGGAGAAAAGGGGAGGATTGAATACTAGCTGAAAGGGCAAAGGGGGTAAATACAGCAAGGAAAATATAGGATTAGAGGGAAAGTGAGTAAGGATTGAAAAAACTGCACACTCACAAACACACACAGATCATTATTTTATATATGTATCACATTTAGGGATACTGTGAATACGGTGGAATAAAATGGGTGTTTTGAAATGTCTGGCTTCAGTGTAAAGGTGTGTGAGAGGAGTCGTGGTGTGCCTTGCTCATCAGCAGCAGGTTACTAACCGGTGGACAGGCCGCAGTGTGAGCCACACAGGTTGATGTTGCTGTCTGAGAAGGCTGCCATGCGGAGCTGGTCATAGGCGCGGGTGAAAAAGGAAGCAAGAGTGCTAGCAAACACAATGTTCCTCTCACGGGCAGCACATCCCATTGCAACACTGACCTGGGAAAGGAGAAGATTTTTTTTTTATTAGTACCTATAACCTTCCAACGGTCACACATGCTTGATCCCCAAAACATCACAGAGAGGTCTAAAAATCTGTGGCACAAACCATATTTGAAAGCGTATTTGAACCAAAGACCGCTTCAAGTCAAAAGTCATTGAGAAGAGTTTTCTCCAAAGCTCAAGAGCTTATTTTCCCATCTGTGTGGAATCAGTGGCATACCTCCTCATCCAAATAATTTCCTTTGTCCTAGCTGTCTCTAAAACTCTCCCCAACCCCACATCTTATTTCTTTGCTTGAACAAAAAGCAACAACTAAGCATCTATGAAATTGCAACTGTGATGTTAAATCAATTCTTATAGATACAATCAAAGAAAGTGAACTATACTTCTTTAAAGCCTGAATTTGAACTATCAGATGTTTCATCCAAATCAAGAAAAGAATGCCATTCATAATTAATATATATAATAAAAGTTTTTGATTTTATAGTGTCAAAAGTATATACTAATATATATTCTCCGTAATGATGATGTAATTGGTATTCATCTTATTTCTATTAGCCACAGACCTTGCCATTCAACGTTTGACTTTTCTTGTGCATTCAGCCAGATGGTCCCACCCTCTGCGCTGATTAATATTTTACTTCTGACTACACATGTCATGACTGCTTATCATCATACGCCTGACCTACATTGGAGGTGGCTGCTGCTGGAGCCGTAACAGCACAAGGAATTAATGTTCGATCGCCTCTCTCCAAATTATTAATCTTAACTCAGATAAAATATTAACAAAGGCAGAAGAAGGGGGCCTGTCAGCAGCAGCCACAATGGCCATAACTAGGTAAATGATTCGCATTATGGATAGACAAGTCATGTTTAATTAAATCATCAAAATGACAGCTGTGAAATGTAAGTTTGTACTCATATCCAATCAGAGCTGAGAAGGAGCATTTTACTTTAGTAATTTAATTTATTTTTAAATCCCCACATTAAAGAGCGAGAGAAGGTTTTGTTTGTGTTTTGTAATAAGCTTTAAAACAATAAGAGCCACAAACCAAAAATACCATACACAGAAAATAGATGGCTTAAAATATATTCGTGAAATCAGCGTAATTCCGTAGATTCATGAGCGACCATACCATGTTCTGCTGAGCGATGTAGCACTCCACAAAGCGGTTGGGATGCTCATTCTTAAAGATCTCTGAGTAGGTGAGGTTGTTAGTGTCTCCATCAAGGGCCACAACACGTTCATTGTAGCGGCCTAATTTGGCCAACGCCATCCCATATGCCTTCCGTGTTGCAATCTATAGAGACAGAGAGGCCAAACAAATCAATAATTAACAAAGCTTGTTGGTTCATTTGTATAAAGAATTCAATTATTTGCCTCTGTGGTTTCTGTAGACATTGTGACTGTTCTTGTGTGCGGGTGACAAACCTTTTCGCCAGCCTTGTAGCTGGGTGCGCTCGGCATCCTGATGTTCCTCAGGCTGACCGGTGGGGAGTCCTCTATGGGAGCAGGAGGGTACAGGTGCTTGCTGCTGTTCATGATGCGGCTCTGCAGATCCTTCATAACAATCTCCGCCATGTCTTTGGGCAGAGGTTTGGCATGCCACCCCAGCTTATCCTCTGCAGCTGAAACCACACGGCATCACATTGGAATAGATTTAAACATTATGAAAGGGTTACACACTTGGGCTTCTTACGTAATATTCACTAGAGGGAGAGCAATGCATTTGCAGATGAGGAGTGGACAGTGACAGACAGTTACCTGGAATGCCTTTGCCCTTGATGGTTTTAGCAATGATGGCGGTGGGCTGATGACGTGGTTGGCTCAGAGCCTTGCAAAGCTCCTCCACACTGTGTCCATCCACAACGATGGCATGCCAGCTACACACACACACACACACACACACACACACACACACACACACACACACACACACACACACTCACATATCAAAGCCACACATTAAGACACACTTGTTACAGTATAATTGATATAGGTGATGGCAGGAACACACACCATGACAGCGTTAACTAAATGTAATTGTTATGGCTAGACATCCTAAAATGCTACTTGTATTACCACCACCTTCGAGATAATCTTCTAAAATAGAGTACATCGACACTATCAGCCTCTACTGCCACATGGATTTTCAGTGCATTATTACCCGAAAGCTTCACAGCGTTTCTGATATTTCTCTACATGATGCTGCAGGGGTGCTGGGTCAGTTTGGCCCAGACGGTTGATGTCCATGATGGCCACAAGGTTGTCAAGCTGGTAGTGGGAGGCGAACGACATGGCCTCCCAGACGGCACCCTCTGACATTTCGCCATCCCCCAGCAGGCAGTACACACGATAGCTGATTTAGAGAACAGGGTGAGATTATGCGATTAATGTGTGTTTCTGTGTCTGTGTATATATGTGTGTGTGGTGTACGATCAGATGACGGTGGGGTGCAAATCTCACAAAAATGTCCTCTGACACTTTTCCAGCCAGACTGATTCTCTTTCCATTATCTGACAGTTGGGATGGTAACCAGCTGTGACATGATAAAAGCTTCCTGAGACCCCTAAACGGGTCTTCCATAAGAATCCCACAGTCTTTAAAAAATGTATTTTATAAATAAGAATAAGTATTTTATAAATAAGAATAAGTATTTTTCTGGCTTTAATTATTAATGCATTATTGGGTTAATATGAATTAATGGGTCAAATATTAGTCTACCAGATGAGTAACCATGTTCTCTATAAAGTAGGTGTTTCATTCAATATTTTGGATTTCTTTTTGCCACCATTACAAAGGAAATTGAATCATTATTGATTCTAAATTATAACAAAAGACTATGAAAAAAATGCATGATTGAAAGCACAATTCCTGGATTGGAATCTGAGAGGAAATCAGCTTGGATGGTAAAGATAAGTGAGATATGACTGCTGGGCCTGTGATTATTAGAGCAGAAGAATTGTGAGAGCAGAGCATGTAGCCGCAGCACACACCCACAGAATCTGGAAAGTCCCAATCACTGAACACTTGAGTGAAGTATAATGGGGACCTAAAATTTTAATTATTAATAACCCTAAAAATGTTTTGTACATCGACACGCCACATTGTTGAGTCAGTGTGTATTAATAAATGGCAAGGGATTTTTAAATGCATGCAAGAAATCTAAAATGCAAGTAAACGGTAAAAAATGAAACGCATATTCTTTCATTTGTATGTGTCCATAAGTAAGAAAGATTACCTGGACTTGTCAAAGTATTTCCCAGTGTAAGCCATTCCACAGGCCACACCAAGACCCTGCCCCAAGGAGCCAGTGGCTACGTCCACAATTTGCTGCTTCTGAAATACAGACACACACACACACACACACACACACACACACACCCACAACAACATACTGTTAAAGAGAGCTGGAACACTGTTTGTGCTGCCTGAGAAGATTCACAAGGTGTGGTACAGTGCGTGACAGCTTACGGGGGTTGGGTGGCCCTCCAGGGCAGAATCAACCTGGCACAAACTGAGCAGCTCGCTCTCCTTCAGGTAGCCCGTTTCAACCCACATGGAGTACAGGGCCGGAGCAGCGTGACCCTGTGGAAGAAGAAACAATCACAAATCAACATTATCTTCGTCATACTACGCTGAAGTAGTTCAAGGAAAAGTTAGAATTCTGTGGGACAAATAAACATCCGACTCTCACCTTGGACAGGACGAAGCGATCACTGTTGAAGTTCCTCGGGTCTTCAGGGCGGTACTTCATGGTGTGGAAGTAAAGCACGGACATGATCTCTGCCACGCTGCAGCATGATGTGGGGTGTCTGTACGACAGAGGAGACAGTGCTGTTCTGTCAGACATAAGTCATGCACACAGGAATGTACAGTAGTCTGGCAATAAAATGGAAATACTGTTTGTTTTTATGGACAATAATTACTTTGAGCAATTATATTTAACCCCCCACCAACAGTTAATCACCAAGTTCTCCATCCAGTGCTGATATCAATGGCTGGTTATTGGCCTTTCCCACAAATAAAAAGGTATTTGAGTATTTCACTCAATAATGGACAAATATAATACATGCAGAAGTTATTTTGCATTTCAACGCAGCCATTAGTCATTAACATTAATAAGCAGAATATTTTAGGTCAAGCAACATTCTGTCAAAAAATCTTCCAAAAATAAATTCTCCATAAAGCAGAACAATATAAAAAATAGTGTAGCGTAGATATTTTTTTTAAATTTATTCAATGATAAGGGATGCACAGCTCAACTTATCAAACGACATTTATGGATATCAAAATGATTCAGCTCGTGGACCAAATGAGGAGAACAAAGGCAGGACATGCTGTTCCTTTTGCCTTTCACTTGCATGTCTGTACATGCAAGTCGGTAGTTCACTAGATGTGACTGCTGGTTTTCAATGTATGCATGCTGCAAATAAATATTAAGTTTGCATTATGTTTTGCATTGCATTCACAGTATTAAAGCTCATGGCTGAGAGTCAGTGGAGGCAACTCACCCGCTGCCTGCTGCAGTTGTTGCCTTGATGGAGTTGATTCGGAGGCGGTTGGCAATGTTCCTCAGTGCCTGCACTGTCTGCTGGTCAGGTTTGTGGTAATCCTCCATGAAGGCAAAATGTCTAGTTCCTCAGCACCAGAAAAGTGGACCAACTACGATCCTGTGATGAGTTTGTGTGTTTTGAATGTGTGTTTGTGAGAGTGAGGGTTGCCAGAGCACAGCACCTGTGTATGTGTGTGTGAGAGCGGGCCAGAGAGAAAGAGAGAGAGAATGGAGGAGAAGCTGGATTTATCCTGTCAGGCATGCAGACACGTAGATGCACAAGGACACACTGCACACACACACACACACACACACACACACACACACACACACACACAC